GGTGTGTCCTTGATCATGTTAGTAGATAGGGAAAGCAATCAGACCACTGGTCTCTGCTGGATGTAGACCACAGGACAGGGTTCCAAGCAGAATGCTGGACTTAATGCCAGCACTTTCAGACCCAGTCACCTCTGAAAGCCACACACAAAAGGCCTGTTTCTCACTGTGCAGGATGGGGCTGTGTCCTTCCTGGCTGAGCTTAAACCTCAGGGGCTGTATGTCCAACCCACATCTTCTCCAAGGCTGTCTCCCATGGCTGACTCACTGGTAGCTGCGTGGAAACGCTTTCCTCCCCGGGCATTGGCCTCTTCCAATTTTCCCAAGATCATGTTGACTGGTTGGTTGGCAACCTTGCTGCCCCAGCGAAGGTGAAACAGAACGCAGGCTGGTTCAGGGCTGGCAGGTGGATGGGGCCTGGGCATGTAATCTTCAGGTGTGGAGTGGGCCAGGGGCCCACAAGTGGCTGCACTGTCTGCCCAGAATGCTGCAGACAGCTTCCACCTCATCACACTGGTGGCCTTTTGTATGCACGTATAAGCAACACATTCCACAGATTTACCCGCTTAATAATTTTAAATTGTAGGACAGTATCCTTAATGATATGCATATTGTTGTGCAACAAATATTTAGAACACTTTTATGTTCCCTTACTGAAACTCCATGCCCGTGGAACAACTTTGTTTTCCCCTTCTCCTCATCCCTGGTGATCAACATTCTATTTTGTTTTCGTATAAGTTTGATTACTTAAGATACTTAACAGAAGCAGAAGCACGCACTCTGTTTTTCTGACTGGTTTATTTTGTTTAGAATTATGTCCTCAAAGTCCATCCACAATGCAGCATTTGACAGATGTTTCTTCTCTCTCTCAGTACGAGAGACTGAAACCAGGGCCTTCACACTAAGCAACATTCCCAGCCCTTTCTTCTTTAAAATATTTTGAGATGCAGTCTTGCTAAGTTGGTAGGCTTGGATCAAACTTGTGGTCCTCCTACTTCAGCATCCCTGAGTTCTGGGATTACAGGCTTGCATCACAATGCCCAGTTTTTAATTCCTTTCAAAAGCTGAATAGCATCCTTTAATTGCCTTAGTTACTTTTCTTGTTGCTGGGACAAAATACCCAACACTCACAAGTTAAAGGAAGAAAGGTTTATTCTGGTTCACAGTTTGTAGAGGTTTCAGTCCACAGTTGGCTTGCTCCAAGGCAGGTTGTCATGGCAGAGAGACACAGCAGAGGCAAAACAGTCCATCGCAGGGCAGGCAGGAAGCAAGCAGCAAGCATTAACCCGCCTTGCTTCTGTTCCTTTTATTCCATCCAGTGTACAAGCCTATTGATTGGTGTCACCCACACCTAGATGGGCCTTCCATTATCCTTACACCCGGAACTATACTAGCCTCATTTAGTTATCACACACCTAATCCACTATCACAGCCCCATGATCCAACCACCTCCCCAAAGCCTCACCTATGATCACATGAGGCTTTTGGAGGACATCTAGACACAAGCCACAACAGTAATGAAATATTTTCATATTTTAGTATTCCTGTTCTACTTATTTTTCTTATTGTTGAGACACAATGCCCAACGCCCAAAGTTAAAGGTTGAAAAGTTTATTTAGCTCACAGTTTGTAGAGGTATCAATGCATAATCCACTGGCTCCAAGGCAGGGTGGCTCATGCAGAGGGTCAACCATTCGTGCCAGCAGAAGACAGCAGAAGTAACAAGAGAGGGAAAGTGAACAGGGACAAGCCTCTTTCTGTCCCTTATGTTGCATTCAGGCTACCTGCCCTAGGGCAGATGTAGCACTCACACCCTTAATCCCAGCACTGGACCATGAACCAATCACACACTCTACATGCAGCCTGCCCCCCACGACTGCATGAGGCTTTGGGAGACATCCAGACACAAACCATAACAGTTCCATATTATTCTTTAAGACAGCAAAACACTCCTTCATTTCCACTGATCCCTTGGTAGGTATATAGGTTAAGTTTATGTCTTGGGTGCTGTGAGCAAAACTGTAATGAATATGTGTGTGCAAATATCTTTGAAAGCCTGTTTTTTCTATTCCAGTCAGATTTTATTGATGCGTTTTAGATATACATGATGATAACATTCATCATAGTTTGTACCTATACATGATGTAACATTTCTCTTTTTCCCTATTCCCCCTACCCTCCCTTCAACCCCTCCACATCTCCCCCACTTACAAAAGCTTTATTTCCATTTTTTCCTTCTTTTCACATTTTCTCTTTTCCCTTCTTTCCTTTTCCCCTGCCAGTTTGAAAATTTTCTTCCTATTTCACAAAACCTATTATACATTTTGGTCCTTATTTATACTTTTGGTTTCTCAAACTAGAGACACAATGCAGTATTTATACATTTGTCCAATTTATTTCACTTAAGAGTATGGTCTCAAGGTCCATCCATTTACCTAGATGTCTCAAGCTTATCCTTTTTTATGGCAGAGTAGTACTCCATTGTATAAAAAAAGTCACATCTTCTTTATCCATTCACCAGTTGATGCATGTCTGGGCTGTTTCAAAGATTTGGCTATTGCAAACTGCCACTATAAACATGGGTGTGTATACTGCTGTGGTATGATGCTTTTAATTCCAAAAGGTTATTTTTAATGTTATTGAATATATACTCAAAAGTAGAATTTGTGGATTATATGGAGGTTGTGTTTTTAGTTTTTTGAAAAGCCTCACACTGATTGTGGTGGATTGACAACTGGTGGTCACCTTATAACACCCAACTGAACTGAGTAAGTGTGGTGCTGGGAGTGGGAGGCCCATCTGAGGACTGTTGCCAGCAGCATAAGAGGCAGAACTGGAGAAAAAGAAAGGCTGTTAGGAGCTGGTAGAAGCTGTTGGGAGCCTGCTGGAAATGGAGATTGGCTGTAAGGAGCTGTTGGTTCTGTGGGAGGAGCTCGTCATGCTGGCTTTCCTGATGAACTCGGCTGTTTTCATCCTCCGAGGAGCTCAGGACCTTGTTGTCACTGAGAATGGCTTCGGTTTACTTTGGGGAAGCTCTGGTCCTCACTCTGAGCATCATTTCCTGTGAGGGGAAGATGGTGCACTGCTCAGTCTTCTGGAGAATCTTGTTGCATTGGCTTTCCTGATGGGAACTCGGCGGTCCTGATTATCAGAGGAGCTCAGGACCTCACTGTTGCTAAGGATGGCTGTGGTACTTTTGCGGGGAGCTCTGGTTTTTGAGTGTCAAATTCCTGGCTCCAGTATAGATCCCTCAGCTTACTAGCAGAGATCCTTCATCCTAGGCCTCCAGTTGGACTCGTGGGAGGCATTGTTATGAGCTCTAGGTCTTCAGCTGAACTCATGCAGGACATTACCATGGGATCCACGCCCTCAGCTGGATTCTTTGGTCTCTAGTGTGTGGACAGATTTCCTGTACTCTCTTGTATATGATTCTTTGGGTGGCTATTATAAATAACCTTACAAGAAAAAAAATAATCTTATAAGATATGTGTCCTGTATTATATTGTTCCCCTTGCAATAAGCCCTAAACCAACACACTGATTTTGATAGTACTTGAGGCATTTCACGGTTCCAACAACTACAACACACTTCCAGGGTACATCATTTCAGAATATTTCCAGTGGTCATCATGAAGCTGATCTGCGACTGATTTCTGAAATATGAAAATAAGAGAATGAGACCCACATCAGGCCTGGTCTTCTACATATGAAGAGCTTGTTCCAAAGGGCAGATTTAGCCAGGTACAGCAGTAGACACCTGTAATCCTAGCACTCTAGGAGGCTAAAGCAGAAGGATCACAAGTTTGAGCCCAACCTGTGCATATACATGTGGCTGGGGATATAGCTCAGGGCAAAGGCACTTGTTCAATTCCCAGCACCGGAAAAGGGAGGAGATGGGGCTCACTGCCTTCTGGCATTTTCTATGATTCACAATCTCCGACACATCCTCCTGTAATTCCATAGAACCAGACAATGTTTAGAGGCTGGAGGGCTTGAAGGCCATTTACGATAGTTCTATGATTTGATGGCTGTTATGTGATTTTACCCCGTTGTTGGGACAGGAGATTTAATGAATTTAATAAAGAAATTGATTCTGTTTCTTTAACTTCCCCTCAAATTTCAGTTCTTTTTTCCACTATACAGACCCTATACCCTTTCCAGTCTGAAAGTAATTGTCCTTGTAGAATCTGAAAGCAAAAATGGGCCTATGCTGTTTGATTGTCGTGGTGAGATTTGTCTTCTAAGGCCGTAGCTTTGGAGGTTAGACACCCCGGACTTCTTGCCTCCTTCACAACTGCTCAGGAATCACTGCAAGAAGTCCTTCAAGGCCCCAGCAGCATAGCAAACAAACAAACACGTCAGATTTGACTCTTAAAAAGCTGAATGGGTCAAAATCAAGTCCACCTTGAAAGTACAAAGATTTGTCACTGTTGGGAACTTCTACTTACTAAATAATAATGGCAATTATGCACAGTTATGTGCTGGCGTCAGGTTACGTCACGCAGCCCGGCAGTATCACACTCATTCCCGTTAACTAGATTAGATTTTAACTTGTTTATGCAACACTGAATCCGAACGGTAGTCTCCTAGAAATCAGGCTCTTAAAACTGCAAAGTGCCGCGCTGGAGGAAGTGGTGGGCACTGAGAAGGACGAGGTCAGAGCTCTGCGACAGCACCCCACCTCGCTCGCGAGGCACGAGAACCCTCGCATGGGGCGGAAGCCTAAGTGTGTAGGAGACGCGCACTGGTATTCAAAGACGTGTGCTGTCAATTCTGAGGCCAACGGTGGATGATAGGAAGAGAGAAAGAAGAAAGGAAGAAAGGGAGGGAGGGAGGAAGGGAGGGAAAGAGGCTTACATTAAAGGCAGAGCGGGTCAGTAGAAGTCAGAAGGCACGAATTCTGGTTGTTTCCACTACTAACCAGTGGCCTTAGGTAAGTCTGTTTCCTCAAGAAAATGGAGCGATGAGTAACACCTCTGCTCCGCTCTCTGGGGCTACTGTGAGCATCGTTTGCAAAAGCTTTGGCTGTGCTAGGAGTTTTGAGTAATGTGGCGCAACGACACGTCAGAGGGAGTGCCCCGCTGTATTTATCCGTCAGAAAAGGTCCCCGCAGGCTGTTTACCCTCATTACACTCTGTCACGCCGTGCGGACGCGGCACCGAGATTCTCCCTCAGGTAACCAGCTCGAGGTCCCAAGCCACCCCTTAAGAACCAAAGGCTCCCATGAGTATGGAAACGTTACAGAAACGGCAAAGAGGCGGCTTTTAAACCTACCCCTCCCTTGCCTTTTTGGGTCTCTCTCTTCCCCCGGCTCTTATTCTTCTGATTCGTTCAAGAAAGCAAGCACAGAAGCACTTTATTAGCGATTCTGATTCAGGAAATATGGGCACTTCTGGTCAACCGACAGGAGTCACGAGCGCAACCCGCGAAGCGGCACGCGTGCAAGCCGAAGGACAGGTCCGCGCGTCTTCGCCGCGCCTTCGTTCCCTGCAGGAACAGGTTCCCTTCCCATCAGCCTGCACCCTAGGCTTAGCAGGAGTCCGCCTCACTAAGTAAGAGAGGCCTGCGGGCAGCGCGGCCCGGGCGCTGCCGTTTTACGTGCAGTCGGCCGAAACTGCGAAACAGATGCTCGAAGCGGCCCGCTCGCTCCGCTCCTCAGGACCTCCGGGCCGCGCGCCCGCCCCGGCTTCCACAGCGAC